TGAAAGCACGAGAGAAATCGATATATGAGAAGGAACTCATGGCCATAGTTCTTGCTATCATCAAATGGAAGCACTATCTCCTTGGACGACATTTCATTGTTAGAACCGATCAACAAAGCCTTCGCTACATTACCCAACAAAGGGAGGTGGGCAGCGAATATCAAAAATGGATGCGAAAATTAGTGGGGTTTGATTTCGAAGTTCAATATCGACCTGGAGCTTCCAAACGAGTAGCCGATGCATTATCACGAAGGGATCACTATTTGACACAATTGAGTGCTCTGACTTGTTTCCAGGTAGTGGAATGGAAAAAACTGGAAGAAGAAATGAAGGCCTGCAAGTGGTTGGCCCAAATTCGTGTGGGCTTGGGAAAAGGGGAGGGAAATTTGGTGGTGTTTCACTTAGATGTTGGGCTCGTGAAGTATAAAGCAAGAATAGTACTCCCTCCCACCTCTGCTTTCATCCCCAAACTGCTTCATGAGCACCATGATTCTCCGGCCGGCAGTCACAAAGGAGAGGTCAAAACTTACCTTTGAGTTGCCGCCGAATGGTTTTGGGTGGGGATGCATCGACAGATAGGTGACTATGTGCGTCGATGTGAGGTTTGTCAGCGAAACAAGAGTTCCCAACAAACACCGCTAGGGCTGCTACAACCTCTACCGGTGCCAGAACGAGTATGGGAAGATGTGTCGATGGATTTTGTTGAGGGTCTTCCCTTGTCTAAGGGTGTGGACTCGGTTTTGGTAGTGGTGGATTGACTTTCGAAATATGCTCATTTTATTGGGCTGAGGCACCCATTCTCGGCGATCAAGGTGGCTGAGGCTTTCACTAGGGAGGTGGTCCGTTTACATGGAGTCCCGAATTCCATTGTCTTTGACCAGGATAGAGTTTTTTTTGAGTGGTTTCTGGAGGGAACTTTTCCGATTACAGGGGACGCAACTCAAACGGAGCACATCCTACCACCCCCAAACAGACAGACAGACCGGAGGTGGTCAACAAAGGGTTGGAGGTATATCTCTGGTGTTTCATCGCAGGGCAACTGCGGAATTGGGCTTCTTAGCTGCATTGGGCAGAGTATGCTTACAACACTTTGCCACACTCTTCTACCAAACTAACACCCTTTCAGGTGGTTTATGGACGAACACCTCCGCGATTGTGGAAGGTTGGGGCTGGTCAGACTCCGGTCAGTTCGGTGGAGGTCCAATTACAAGAGAGACTCATGTTGGATGAATTGAAGATTAACTTACTCCGGGCTCAACAAGTCATGAAGGGGTATGCCGATAGTAAACGACGGGAAGGGCAATTTGAGGTTGGAGACTCAGTGTTCTTGAAGCTACAGCCGTATCGCCAGCGATCACTGGCAATTCGTCCAAATGAGAAGCTTGCAGCTCGATATTATGGGTCATTCACGGTCGTTGGGAAGGTGGGAAAGGTGGCTTATCGCCTGGACCTTCCACCCACATCCCGAATCCACCCTGTGTTCCACATCTCCCAACTCAAGAAGGCGGTGGGGGCTATACCGGTTAATCCAGCAATTCCGATTCAACTGACCCCTGAAATGGAAATGGTGGTAGAACCCGAGGCTGTTTTGGATTCCAGGAAGGTGGCTGTGGGCAGGGGCGTACTGATGGAGGTATTGATTAGGTGGCAAGGGCTGCCGGAATTTGAAGCCACGTGGGAGGATAGCAAGATGATAATTGATCGATTTCCGGCCTTCCACCTTGAGGAAAAGGTGAATCTCGAGGGGGCGGGTATTGTTATGGACCCAAGCACAGGTCAACAATTTCAGGGGTACACTCGGCGTCTAAGGCAACAACAACAACACACAGGGCAGCAACAACAATTTAGAAAGGAAGCAAACAGCAGCAACACCGGGCATTAAGCAATAACATACAAGAAGCAAGACTACTTTTTGGAAGAGACCATTTTGAGCAAGGCAACAAAAAGGAGCAGTTATTTCACTAATTAAGAAAAAAGACTTTAGGCTCTCATTTCATTACTTTTGTTTTATCTATTTTTAGATGTAAGGAGGCAAATTGTAATACTTAATGTTTAGGGGATTTTTCCCCGCCACGTGGACCAATAAGCACCTGCCACGTGGACCAATCAGGGGGCTGCCACGTGTCATATTTCAAGAGGTCCAACATGGACCAACCATGCCACGCCACCTGGCACCTAGATTGCCAACCTGGAGAACGGCCTAGAGAAGCCTAAACACACGTGCATACTAATAGCTAGACCAGACTTAGCATTATTTTCACTCCCCGATCACTCCTCCCTTCCGAGGAACTAGATCACCCTTTTTACTTTCCGCACCTTTTACTCCACACACAAGTACTAACTTGATCGTCGGAGGCGGAGCTCTCACCACCCGGAGTTTCCGTTGTTTTGCAGGTACAGGCGCACGGATCCAGTCCCGGAATTGTAACTCTCCCGCAGGACATCAAAAAAACCCGAAACACTTAAGTTTAGGCTGAGAAAGGAAAAAGGCATCCAGAAATTGTAAGGAAAACACAAGAGAGTTGTAACCTAAAGCTACTTAGAGACTCATGGCCTCAAGTCATGTTTTGTAATCAACCCTCTGTTATTTACTATGCACAATAAATCAAGTCCTTGCTTAGCAAAATTACAATCTCAATTGCTTCAATACTATTCCTAATTAGTCAAAAACCGCTCTATGACATTGCTGAGTTTTTTTCCGTTAACTTGAGTGTGTATCGGGGAAGTGTCGTAGGGGTACAGTAGTCAAACGGAGGAGTGGTCGGACCTGGCCGGAAAAGTCAGTTCCTGCCATAACCCCTAACCAAGTAACCCTTGAATGACCAAATAACCCCTAACCGAGTGAGTAACCCCTGACCGAGTGATTAACCTATGATTGAGCGACCGAAATTCCAATTCATTAAAAAACCAGCATATCATCCAAAATTCCAATTCAATTAAAGTTCCAAAACAAAATCCATATATGATCAAATATAAGAAAGCAAAGAGAATATTATTAGCAGCCTTGAGTTTAAGATTAGGGCCAACAACAAGGAACCCTTTAAAGCATTCTATTCCTCAATATCATAATGAATAGCAAGATGCTTCGTAATAAGAGCGATTTGCGGCTCGGCAAATTGCCTTTAGGATTATTATGGAAAGTGAATTTCAATTTCACCAATCCATTGAAAAGCTTCAATGATACTTTGTGGAAGAACACCGAGTTTTCGCTATCAAATTTTGTTGTTACTCGCAACAGCAGATGTTTTCGGAATTAGAACAACCCGAACGCTACCGGCGATTTCTGCGAACGACGAAGACGGCGATGGAGGCAGATATCTGGCAATGAAGATGGCGGCGGAGGTGGTGGAGGTTTAGGTTGGAAGGAGGAAAGGTTGCTGAAGAGGATGAGGGTTTGGAGGTTGTGGAGGTGATTAATGTGGCTGGCCACACGCTGTGCCCAACTACATATGAAAGTTTGTGTTTGGAATGAGTAAAACACAAGGTTTAAAAGAAGAAGAGAAAAAAAAAAGGAAAAAAAAAAAAAAAAGAAACCACAATCAAACATAAGTTATTAAAAATCAAGTTCTAAACGATACTGCTTCGACTATTTAAAATTCCAACAACTTACCTTGCATTCATAAGTGGGGGAATTCCTCCAAACTTTTATTCAAAACTAGGGGTAGTTATTGGGCGGGTCGGTGTAGGTCATTAGCGGGGCGGGTAGGTTGTGGGTCATGATGATTATTTAGTGGGTCAGGGTCAGGTCAGAGTCGAGGTAAAAGTTAAACAGGCCATTAAGAGGCCATCAATACCTTTACTATAACAAATCTCATTTAATACCATCTAATTTCATAAACAAATAAGATAAAAAAAATCAACAGCTCGTAAATTAAGAATAGGGGTAAACAAAATGTTATTCTAATTATACCACAAATTGTTGCTAAAATAATTACTAAGAACTGAAGAACAGCAAAGAAATTCAAATCATACCATAAATTGTTGCTATAATAATAATCAATAAAAATAACTAACTTAATTTTTTTTAAAAAAACCTTATGTTTGCGGGCGAAATCCTCGAGCTGAGAGCGAAAAGTGGATAATTGCTCCTTCATAACATCAGTTTTCATGGAGGCTATATTTTCTCCAACAACTCGAAATTGATTCTGCAATATTATTCAAAATCAATGTTTAAATTAAATTTTTTTTTTCAGGTGTTTTTAAATTAATCGAAGAAAATTGAAAGATGAAGATGACAAAGGACTAACCCTAGTAGCAGCAGATGACTGTAAACCTCCGATTTCCGGTCGCCGCCTCATTTTTCCAGCGAGATTTCTCACTCGGATAAAGAGAAAGAGGAGAGAGAATGTGTGTGTGAGTTCAGTTTACCGATCTAATTTTTTTATTTTTTTTAAATTGGGTTTTTTCTTTTTGGCCTTTAATATTTCTTTGATATTAATGGGCTGTCAATAAAAGTTCATCATTGACCCTATATCTTAAAGCCCTTTAGTGACCTTGTCCACAAAAATATTAAAGGGTCAAGACTCTTTAAATTTTGGCCCGACTCTATTATCAATGGACAACCCTGTCCATTAACCACCCCTATTCAAAACTAACAACACTAGACCATTATGTAAATGTTTTCTACTCACTTATTTATATTACTTATAACCAAAAGGAAAAAACTTTAGGGGTCCTGACTGCCTCAACTAAGATCTGCCTCTAATTAAGTGCATTGCGTACGATTCAACCACTTAAAAAAAAAACTTACCAACATATCTGTTTCAAACATATTAATGGAAAACCATTTGCATAGTATTTTTAAACATTTTAATGGAAACCATTTCCCATTGTAAACATTTTTTGTCTAACCAAATGAAACCATGATCATGAGTTTTAGAAAGCAGATGATGTGGTACTGTGGTAGCATCAAAGATGAGACACAAAAATCCAAAGTACGACATTTCATCAAAGACAACAAGACAAGTAGAGATAATTTGCGAAATACAATCGTATAAAAACCTTATCTTCAAGCTTCAGACGAAAATACTTCAGTTGATAGCCACATAATCTAACTTGCTTAAGGCAAAAATTCAATTTTCTAATGTTGCTGAATAGCATTAGCAGTTTACGGCCTGCATTACTTATATCACAATCTAATTCAACCAATTTTCATGGGTATAAAAACGTCGATTCTTCTTATCGAAACTTAATTTGCAATTTATCATGGTACAAATTCTGTAATACGAGCACCCCAACTGGTAAAACATTATGTTGCAGGGCAAGGAGAAGAGTAAGATATGACAAAGAAGATTATGAAAGTTATGGTTACAATGAAGAAATAGCTATATTGGAAATGTATAGCCAGTCAGCCAGAGGAGAAGCTCTGCTTGTGACAGCTATGGTTGATGATCAACAAGTAGAAGTTCTCATCTTTAAGGTGACACCATTATTCATAGTTCTTGCATCTCAACTTGTTTAAATATTTTTTCCTTTACATTATACTTTGAATACGATATGTATTTTCTAACTCAAAAATTAATTGTCACGTTATTCCCTCGTCTCATCATAGACTTTTCAAATTTCATTCAGTCCAATGGAAGTTAGTTTTGTGATAGCAACATCATCTATCCAACTCTCACATCACTCAAATAAAAAAAAAAAAAAAAAAAAAAAAAAAAAAAAAAAAAATAGAGTATTTAAAAGAATAAAAAGGAATCTTTTCTACGTAGTAACAAAAGAAATGATTAGTTGATTAAGTAAATAACACCACATCAACAATATTAGTATAATTATAAAATAATTAAATTCACCACTTAAAATGGTTGTAAATCAATAATTAGTTTATTAAATTTTTCCTAAGAAAATGTTGCTAATTTCAATTTCAAACATTTTAGTATGGAAAACATGATTATAATTTTTAGATGGAAGGAGAATCAAGAGCATGTTTCAATGGAGCTTGATTATCGATTGCAGGGATTTTCTTCATGCTTGAGTTATGGGACATCCCCAGATCCATCAAAAAGTGTTCTTCCACAAAGAGCAAGAATTATGTCAATAGACAGGATTAAGGGTCCTTTCAACCCCAACAATATTGAGTACATTGAGAAAGGTTTGACATGGGAGACATTTAAAAGCCGTTTTGCTTCTACTAATACTAATGAATAAACTTCATTATTCTTCAATTAGCGTTTCCCAAGATTTGATTCACATCTTGATCTTTTCTTTTTTAAGATCTCCAGCTCTTTAAGTCAAGCCCTGTAAATCAGCTATTACAAGAATAAAATTTCATAGAGATACGCATTACATATGCTCTCTTTGTTCGCAATTTTTTGTCAAATTAAAATATAATTGGAATTAGTAATATGACAATTAAATGTATTTAATCTAGCTAGATAGCTTTAATTGATGTCTTTCCTGAATGCAAGTAAAAAAAAAATATTTCTTTTGTGCAAAAAAACTGGATTGATTCCAAGTATCATGTAGTAATTCTATTAACAATGTTGCATTTGTTCTTCCATGACCCTAAATAAGTAGTGCGAGTAACAGAAATAACTGATTTTCTGCTGGGTGAGTCGAGCCTCAAGTTAAGGTCTACGCAGATCAATCACCAAAAGTACGCTACACAGCCGAATTATAGTAAACAAATTAGATTTACTCAATATGCTCTCATCGTGTAAATTATCCGGCAAAACACAAAATTTACAAGTATACACCCTGACTTTTAGTTAATATCAGATATCTGAAAGAGCCATTGTGTTTTTCACAAAAGAATTACAATAACAAAGGACCAAAGCCATAATGATAGTGTGTAAGAAACACTTTGATATCTTCTCGGAGAACATTTTAAATCACCTACATTCTATATCTCAAAATTGGTGCTCAATACAGAAGTAATGTTCTCAATATCTCATGAATTGTGTCATGGATGAATGTGTAGGTGTGAATTGAATAATCAATCATACGTAGCTTGTAAGAGGGGCCTTTTACCTTTCACTACTGCATAGTTCGTTTACAACGGACAGTGAGAACCTAAGAGACTCAATCATACGTGAGTCTTCATCTGTTCCATGCCACGGAATCAATATCATCCCTTGCTGACTTGTAGAGTTGAAGCCTCTTTGATAGTGATTCTCTTCTGGACATTAATGCAGGATCTTCATCTAACATGGCACTAAGCTGATCTTTCTGCATATTGATGAAACGCAAGTATTACTAACCTAGAGAAATATTCTATTCGACGACTTTCTAAAAGGAAACCATGCACAGACACACACACACACACACAACTCCTATTTCTAATACATATCTCATTACCAATTCTATTACATGTATCTGTACAGGACGATTCAGATAAAGTAAGCAAATGCATTCTTGCAAACAAAGAGCTGGGAAATTATTTATAATACCGAGTAAAAAAGAATCATAATTTATGTCTTCTGTACAACAATGCGTAGTAAAATAGTCGGAAAATGCTAAGAGAACACATAAACTGTCTTAACTAAATTATTAGCTGAATTCAGTTTGTCTTCTGATCTAATAAGATGCTAACTACATAGAGTCATAGAGTGCTCATCCGAGTACACCAGAAAATTCCCTTTTGTGTTGCTTCATTGATTTTAAGAATGTCAAGTTTTCTTACTTTCTATGCTGCTAATAAAGATGTTAGTACTACATTAAATCCAGAAATATTCTCTTGTGCTACTTTCCACAGGAAATAATCTACCAGCTAACTAAAGTCTTAAAGATAATCTCTTAAAGATACGGCAGCTGACATTTGAACCTCTCCAAGAGTGGAACTTGGTAGAGAATAAGCATATTTTTTATGGAATAAGTTCAGTAATTTACCAGATAATTAATCAAGACAGTTGAGAAAATAGAGGACAAAAGAAAAGATATAAGAAGTGTTACTGTGGGAAAAGGAGGTGATTAGTTCATTAGGTAACTGATGCAATTTATCATAGCCCTTGAGAAAAATTACTATAACTACTATACAACAAGTTCAAACCTGGAATCACTAACAGTGCAGAGGAGCTTCAATTGAAGATAGAGATTACTCTTCAGGAGCAAATAGATAAGGCAATGTCAAACTAATACAGACTTTACCTCTCTTTTCCCAATTTGAACATAGAAGTTGTTTAGAAGTGCTCTTTTTGCCTCTCGGACTTGGCAATGTACAACTGCCTTTGGAATAGAATTTTTCAATGTGTCACAAACCATACCGACATATGCTGTGACATTTGATCCTGGAAAGGAAAGCAAATAAATTTTCCAGCTTTAGCATAATTGTGATTAGAAATGAAGCTTATGGCAACATGAAGTGATATGAGCAGAAAATTTGACTACAGTGAGCTAAACCCAGATACAGGGATCAACACTTGAAGCATAAATGAACTTACCAATTCTTCTAAGGTGATTATCAGTGTAACGATCAGAATTTGAAGCTGGTTGGTTTCCAGTATTCTTCTCTGGTTCGAGTTGAAGTTTTCTAAAAAATTCAACTGTTAGGTACGTGGACTCCATCTCTACCAGACGCACAACAGTTTTCCGACTTTCATCACGGAATCTTTCCAGTGAGTTATTAGCAGCTGCAGCTATATCACTTTGAAGTGATGGGAATCTCTTGAGCTCCTATGAGATGGAAAACATCAAAATTAGCAGAGAAAACTTTTGTATTGGTATAGTATATACTTCCTCTGTTTTTTATTAGATGCATCACTTTCTATACATGAAAGTTTCAATTTAGATACATCACTTTTCCTTTTAGCCAATAAATTCTCTCTCTCTCTCTTATATCACATGGGCCCTCTTTATTTTTTCTCTCTACTCCAAAAATTGTCTAGGAGTCCGCAATTTCAAAAGCGATGCATCTAATAATAAACGGAGGAAGTATGTGTAACACATGGAACCTTATCCCTTTATTATTTAAAAAGCATGGAGATTGGAGACACAAGGGGCATTTCTAATTCTCTCACTTATCAAATTTTTTTTTTTAAAAAAAAATTACAATTTACAAAACTAAAATACTTAAATATGTTTAGCACCAAGGTTTGACATTACTTAACAAATTTTATAAAAAACACAAGAGCAATATAGGCAGTAAAATTGCCATATTACTTGAGCGAATAATGGTGATGTTTTGAGCTGATCAGCCCCAAGCTAAAATCTTAATGCCTTCATTGTACTAATTTCTCTCCGTAATACTATACTTGAAAGCTGAGTGGCTCGATGCGGATAATCTTCAAATTTTATTTTTCCTATAAAATAAGAATCGATTCTTCTTTTCCTAATTTTCATTAGCCGTTGTTTAATGAATCGGTGAGCCACTTTCTGCTGTGTTGTAAGCTTACGTCAAGGTGGTAAAACCTTAGAGGCTAAGCTATTCAACTACTTTAATTTTCTCATAAGGGTTTTGGCTAATTTAGTTTCATTTCTTGGAGCTTAATAATCGAAGTTAGCTTCTACTTTGTGACTGATTTCTATCTGTTCCCTCACACAAGGCATCAACATGCTGTAAATGTAATAAAAACCAATGATGTATTATTAGTGCATATACATTGATCACTACCACTTCATTTTGCTCATAGGGTTTTTGGCTTCTTTAGTTTCAATTCTTGGTGCTTAATAACCGAAGTTAGCTTCTAATTTGTGACTGCTTTCTACCTGTTCCCTCATACTAGACATTAACATGCCATGAATGTAATTTTAAAAAAGGATGTATTATTACTGCATATACATTGATCACTACCATATAATTTTGCTGATAAGGTTTTTGGCTTCTTTAGGTTCATTTAGTGGTGCTTATTAATCGAAGTTAGCTTCTAATTTAGAAACAGGTTGCGGCCATTTGCAGGCAATGAATGAAAATAATGCAAGACTAGATGAACACTCAAACTTACGAATATTCTAAATTCAGCAATCCTTATGGTTGCAACTATGGTCAAAGTTTCATGAGAAAGGTTGCCCGTCCCTAAGCAAGAATCACGAGATGTTATAACTCAGAAACCAATAACTGATGTGGAATACGTGTGTAACTTATGTGCAGAAAGACTTTACATAAGCATACATACTTTTCGCAGGGGGGGGGGGAATGGATGTATTAGTTTATGTTCATTTTCTCACCAATGTTGCAGCTATTGACTTCCTGACGAGTTCTTTCAAAATCAGGTGCACCTGTGAAAAACAAAGTTTAATGAATTAAACAATACAGTACAGAGAATGAATTAAACGATATAGGAGGAAAGTATCCCTTTGCTAGTAATCTCTAACAATTATGAAAAGTACAACACTTGAAAATTGAACATTTGAAACAATAGAATGGCTCCCACCCATGGTATAAATTGGTCCAACATAACCTTGACCCAAAAATGCTGCCTCCTATTTATATTGGTCAACTAAAGTTGCATTTATTAACACAACAGCGTGAAAAAAATTGTTCTAAAAGACACATCATTAGGAAAATTGATTTAGTACATTGTGATTCAAAGTTGCATTATTGTCCAATATCACTTCATTCAATTACTCATGGTATGATAAGATAATAAGCTACAACTAAAAATAATTGGTCATTGAAAAGATGATTTCTGAGAGTCAGATAAGTAACATCTAAAAAGTAAACAATCAATTATACACTCTGAATTTTTGAAATTGAATTTTTGGTTTTATCCCAGGGAAGACAAATGATAGAGCTTTATAGGGTAAAGAAGAAGGATCTGCATATGGTCTTTATTGATTTAGAGAAGGCATATGACAAGGTGCCAAGAGAGGTGCTTTGGTGGGCAATGTTGAAGAAAGGTATCCCACGAAGATACGTGGACCTGGTTAAGGATATGTATCGGGATGTGTCAACAAATGTGAGGACACGTGGAGTGTTGACAAAAGATTTTCCTATTACAATTGGATTGCATCAAGGGTCTACATTAAGCCCTTTCCTTTTTGCAATGGTTCTAGATGATGTAACTAGACCAATTTAAGATGAAGTCTCATGGTATATGTTGTTTGCGGATAATATCATTTTGGTGGATGAAACTAAAGATGGGGTTAATGCCAAGTTGGAGCAATGGAGGCAAAGATTGGAATCTAGAGGGTTTAAGCTAAGTTGGAGTAAGACTGAATATTTGGTATGCCGCTATGGTACTCAAAAGACCATGAGTGAATGCTTTAAATATCTTGGGTCTATCATCTAGAAAAATGGTGACATTAATCAAGACGTGGCCCACAAGATTAAGTCGGGGTGGCTTAAGTGGAGAGCGGACACGAGAGTGTTATGTGACCGAAACATTCCCTTACAGTTGAAAGGGAAATTCTACGGGACTGCCATAAGATCAGTGTTGATCTATGGTTGTTGGGCTTCTAAGAAGGAGTACATTAAAAAGATGGAGGTTACGGAAATGCGAATGTTAAGGTGGATGTGCGGGAACACTCTAAGAGATAGAATCAAAAACGAGGTTATTCGCACGAAGGTAGGTGTGGCAGGCATTACAAACAAACTAAGGGAAAATCGTCAACGATGGTTTGGGCAATGGTTTGGGCATGTAAGACGGAGACCCGAAGGTGCACCGGTACGAAGGGTGGGACCATGGAGGGATTAAACAAGGGAGAGGGAGACCGAAAATGACTTGGTTGGAAGGAATTCGGAGGGATATGAAGTTTTTGGATTTGCATGAGGATGAGGCATTGGATCGTAAGGGATGGAGGAGGATCTTTGTCGATAATTACACAGAATAATCAAATTTGGTTCATGTAGCCGACTCCACTTATGAGATTAAGGCTTTGATTGATTGATTGATTGATTGATTTGGATGTTTCTGCAGATTGATGCTTTGGTAAGCCATCTCTTCACTCTAGCATGTTGACTTCCAGTGTAGAATAACGTTGTCATGTAATAAACAAGATACCATATAAATGTAGAAATGAACTTTACCGCATCAACTGTTGCCTCAGCAGGGCCTTTAAAGTATCCAAGTGATCCATCAATGAGTCTTCTGATTCCTTGTTCAGGGGCAATTAAATGGGGCTGGTACCCATCAGCTTCTGATACAACTTTCCGGACATTTGATGTTGAGAGATGACGATCAAGAGGGAGTTTTTTCATAGCAGCTGGGAGTTGGTGGTCAAAAACCAAATAAATTCGATCACCACCAGGCCGCCTGAAATAACATTGTGCTTTAGATTTTTGCAGCCAAGATAGATATTCAGGTGCAAAACAGAGCTACAAATAGTCCAAATTATCTATTACTTCATATAAAAAACCTATCAATATACCAACAGCAAGGTCAAAGTATTGAGTCAGAAGACAATTAATAAAAGAAAAAATAGTCTCCCAACATCATGTAAAACATGTCTCGTTTGCATAATACAATCCAGCAACTAGGTAACCTATTATTGGTTGTCATTGTGTCATGTATTTTTGACTCAGACCTGCATGCATGGCATGTAACGAATTGTACAACATTAAACAACTTAATAGCAGTGTTGAAAATTTAGCATGCTACCATTTAGCTATTGCAGGTGATTTCGAATGATAATATTCTCAATTTGTTGTTTATATAGATTCAAGCAACATATTTTGACATGCAAATATTTCCATTATACATGTGCATGTTTTCAAATTGGAGCTAAATCATACATAAACCCACTTTAATCTTGGTCTAAAAGTCTTACTGGCCAAACATCATAGCTGATGAGGTCAAAAAGTTCAAAGACATAAAGTCAAATCAATTAAAACCCCCCAAGTCTTGATTTTAACTGTTAAATTTACGATGCGCTATCAGAATTGAAGAAAATTGGAGAGTTACAGCTCAAGGAATTGCTCATAGTAAGAGATATATAGAGCTGAAGAAGGGTAAAAATTAAAAAAAAAAATAAAAATAAACATATATATAATTGGATCTTGTTCCTAGACTCCTAGTACTAAATGTCAATGACATAAGAGAAAAGCTTAAATTATCAGAGCTAGAGACCATAATGAAGCTTTTATTCTGACGTAGGATTTTGTTGAACTGCCTACCAAAATTACATTTCAGCTACAGCCCTGAAGTTTAGACTTCCATGCCATTCAACTTATAAGTGAGAGCTAATTCTGAAAAGATCAATAGTAATTACTCCATCCATCCACAAGAAATGTCTAGCAAAAAAATGTGACTCCAATAGTGTGAGTCACAATGTTCATGGTAAACAATAAATTGGGGCAAAGGTTGTACCATATTAAGGGGAACTGGTATTATTTAAGGCAAGATTACACTCATTGCCATATATATAGGCTAACAACAACTATTGACATGAACTTGTCACTCATAATAAATCGGTATGAACTTGGTTGCTAAAGACAGTGGGTCCTACACTCTTACATGTCGGAAAGTATGTTTAATTCATTAAAATGTTATTAAAATAATTACAGTCTACAAAATTAAATAAAATTTGCTCACTGAAATCCAAAAATGCAACCATTTGATTTTGCACTTTTATGTAATGTATTGTTGGTAGTTAGCAAATTTAATAATAGTTTGTTTTAAAATGTTTTTTAGCTTTTCTAGCATGTGGGGCCAACTCTTGTGGTTGCAATGCCATTGTCTTTAGTAACCAAGTCCGTGTCATTTTATTAAAGTGACAATTTTATGTCAATAGATGTAGTTGGACTATGATTCATGTTAAATGAGTGTCATTTTGCATCAATTTTCTAGTCTGGTTAAAGTGTTAAACACATGTCTTCTACTCCTCCCCTAACATTCTGCAATTTTGCAAATGATGAGCCTGAATACCTGGTTTTCAAGGGTGGTCATCAGTAGGGAAGGTGAGGTTCAGCATTAGATTTGGGATGGTACAAAGAGGCTTGTCATATTGTAGTTTCTATTTGGGCACAAAAAAGATTTTATTCTGAAAATAAGAATACCTCTCTGGCACAAATTATACAAGCACAAGTAAGGTAACTAGGGGGAAGGAAAGATAAAAGAAAACAAACAAATAAATAAATAGATAAAAGATAAAGCATTATGTGAGGCAATATTTTATATGAATTAACAAAAATTACCCGCCCTCAAGATGCTCCTTGAACACTTTATCAAATGCACGGCACATTTCCAATATTGTATATAACTGGGCCTACACATATTACGTGAAAAGGTTAACTCTATAACGTGCCACCATAAAGGACTTAAAACTTTAGTGGGACTCAATACTTACCCCTCCATCTGATGCAATAGGCCTGCCTATACGGTCCAATTCAGCATTGATTTCATCAATTGTCTTATTGATAAGGGCAATGATACTTGGAATTTTCTGTCTTATTACAACCTCCAAATGCTGGTTGAAAAAAACAATATTTAAGCCTCGTGAATAATTGACAAAAATTAAGATATGTTATAAATGTAGATATGAAAACATTATGGAGCATAAAACAAGCTTTATATTCTAACCTGAGACAAAAGTTTTGCCAAATATTCAGAACCCATTTTATGAGCTAAGTGAGAATATTCTGGGCTATGTTCAAAGTACTCCCTCTCCTTCCTACGAGCAAAATTTATGTCGACATTTTTGTTGATATCAGCTTGTGAACGATTCACTATACCAACCCAGGGATGTTGTAGCCTATATGCTCTTCCTTCAAGAACCTTTATATATGGAGTAAGAGTTCATGAGTTTTTTTTTTTTTCTAATAAATGAACTGAAAATACCACCAAATCATTCACAGAAAGAAATATACATCAAGAGCATTTGTTCCTTGGTCCATCAGATCAAGTTTTGTTAAGACACCAAACGTCCTTTCACCTGCAAATGCAAAAGATAGCTGATAACATCAAACATCGGCCAAAAAAAAACTAAATAAATAAAAAGGGGGTTCTGGGAAAGTATTAACTATTACCATAATATCCACTAATAGCATAACAAAAGACATCTAACTTACCTGAAGGATCAACTTCTCTCGCCAACTTTATAGCATCTGATGTGGCTATATCTTGATTAGCAGGAGAAATAGCCAAGATAATGCAATTAGGCTACAAGAAAATCGGAAATAGGCATGTTAAAAGACTATTAATTGTTCTATACGTAAACATAACTAACTACATGCAACATATCCTTGTAGAGATAGCCTGCATTTCCATTCCCATAGACCCATAGTTTACACCCTGCAACCTAAACAGCAAGATATGTTGTTACTTGCAACAACTACTAGACAGACAGGGGGCTTAATTAAAACTTGGTACCCAGCTACAACTTGGTAGCCAGCACTTCAACCCCAACCTTCCTTCCCAGCTCTTGAAAAGAGAATCAGAAAAGAAGAAACAAAAACCATTGTTTCCAACCACATAGAGCAGTTCTGGCTGTAAATTTGTGGCAGAAAAGACCAAGCAAGCAACAAATGAAAAACAACGGTTCAAACATCAACTAGACAATGCTGAAACTCGCTATATAATATTGGTCAGCGCCAACATCCAGACCAGACCAATCATAATCCACCACAAATAAAATGACCTAAACAGCAAAGAAATTACTCAACAACAAAACTACAAGCAGAAGACCCATATTTAGACCATAATCGTGGAAATGAGCACCAAAGGATGACCAACACGAGCACCAAAGGATGACCAAAGTGTTCAATGATCCTAGTTTACAGTGATCATGGTAAGCTCATCCAGTTGTTTGACAGCCGATAAAGACTAGAAATGAGCTCTCACATCCTTTTTGTAACTTGCTCAAGCTTAGAAGTGGATTTGAACCACTACACAAGGAATATTGCAACCCTTCATAGCTACCTTTAAACTCAACTGTTCAGCTGATTGGACAAGCACTGCTGCAATTATCATGGCGGTTCTCTTCTTTTACACAGCCACAAAAATAACACCATGCGTTCCTACTTTATTTATCAAGATTCAAGCAACATCAGAATCAATCAAAGATGGCCTGACATGAGATCTACAGCCTAAAAAGAAACCAAAATTTTTGACTATAGAACTGCCTCGCTCCTACATTTCAATAGATATAAACAAAAGAGTAGTTCATGTACCTTCTCGACATAACTGCGAACCATGTTCTCAATGTCTTGGACAATACTTTCTTGTTGTCCCTCTGCAGTAGGCCAAATAAAACACAAGAGTTTAAAAGGTTACTAAATCTCACCGTGTCAGATTATGCCTGCGCAATGTCCATTATGTGATTGCATTCGTTATTGGTATACAAAAAAAGTCAGAAAATTACCTACTGCAACCTTTGTCAGCCCAGGAAGATCTATAAGTGTCAAGTTCACAACTGTAAAAAGAAACAGAAAATGTATTAGCAATAATGATGCTTTTATAAAATATGGCAAATATAGATTTCAGCATATTAATTGTGATAAAAAGGAAGCAGCAAACAGACAATTTTTGTAATTTGTACTCGGAAAACGATCCAGAAACATGTATCTCTCCTCTCGGTTCTCTCTCCAATTATTATCGTTTTAACTGAAAGTGTCAATACCCTATGTGAGTATGTGTAAATATAAAGGCACTGCGCAAATAATGTTTATAAACAATAAACATGTCTGCTGGAGCTCAAGTGATAAGCCAAATGTAATTTTAGATAGACATGTTGCGGCTAGCAAGATGATATCGACTAAGGAAAAACTGTTTGATATCCAGTATGAACTATTAGTTGTATAATTTGATGAAAGTGGCAACATATAACTAAAATCTGATGTTTGCACACAATGAAGGTTTACTAAAGGTACAACTTTGGTGCTAAATAATCTACCCAAAGAGAAGAAAATTGGAAAAAAGTAAAAAATTACAGCAAAAGTTATTAAAGTTGGTTTTCCATGAAGAATGAAATAAGGGACAACTATAGGCATCATCGAAAAAAGAACAGGTGATATAGTACAACAGTATTGAGTCTATTAACTCTAAGTCGGTTACACAGGTGGTTACTTCTGGAGGTAGCTATGACAGTCACATCTGCCCCCAAACTACAAAGCAAGGAGCGCAAAATATACAAGTCTTAATGAAACCATAAAGCATAAATATCAGTATAGATGCATACCATTTGGTGAGTAGATGCTCAGGTGAATTGGGATATTAGAAATTGCTTTTGTTTTTCCAGTTATACGATCAGTTTCATCAGCTATTTCTTTGCGGACAGCAGCTGCATAAGAAAAATAGAAAGATATAATATATGTATATATTCAAGAATTGCATAGCCATGAAAAGTAAGCAATAAGAAAGCCACCAACAGGAAATCTTCCTCTAATAGGAAATGGCCAATAACATAGAGCCTCCAACATCCACCAGGGTAACGAATCATGTAAAAAAGTACAGGAATAGACTGAACAACTAAAAGTTCAAACAGGGACAAATACTTAATCATGCTAAAATAAGTTTTAACGGTTTCAAGCCAGCTCCCGACAGACGATTTCACCATTTTCAACCAAATAATAATTGAGTCAGAGGTCAATTACCAGCTTAGTCGGTAATCTACTTATACATGACTAATATCACTAGAAAAATCACCTTCGAACCCTTACATAAACCTAAATGACTCTACACTTGCATTTTCCTCAGAAATGTTCTGTTAAAAAGCAATTAGCTTCACGAATTAACAAGACTGTGTCAAATACAACAAAAAGACTGTATCAAATACAGCAAAATTTCCCACCAATTAAAGTTTATGTATCATTAATCAGAGATCAACATATAGTTGGCATTAGCTCAAATAATCACAAAATGACCAGAAACTAACAGTCAATGCAGCACTAAAGCCGAAATTACGAACCAAAATCGGTATATTTTCTCTTCGGTGCGTGAAGAAATTCTGCATAATCAGATCCACCATCGGTCTTGTGCAATTGCAGCACTAGCGGCCGCCGCGTAACAATCCCTTTCAACAACAAAAAAAACCGTATTTCAATCAAATCAATGAATCGGATCTCAAATATTAGGCATCCTCAATACGAAATGAAATCGAAACAGTACCAGATCCACGAGGAAGAAAATCTCTTCCGACAACACTTTCCAACACCGATGATTTCCCAGAACTCTGAAATTTCATTCAAATACTTCAAATTCAATTCAACAATTTGAACAAAAACAAATGCAATTTCAAATGAGGTAATCAGAAATTCAAGAAAAGATTGAATGTATGACCTGACCACCGACAACAGCAACAGAAGGAAGAGCTTCCCAAAGAGAAAGACCTTCACCGCCATGATCACCGAGAACAGTACAAGCTCTTTGGATTTTGTTAACCAATCCGATCAAGCTCTCCATTGTCGCCATTTTTGAATTAGTGAGGAAGATCTAAATCTCGAAAATGTTGTGTGAATGGGATCAAATAGGGTTGTTGTGTTTCTGGGTTTTAGAGTGTGATGAAGGAGAGCGAGAGAGGGGGATGGATGAAAGTTGGTGCGGAGATTTGGGCAGATCCGCAATGAGGGTGGAGCGAGAGAGAAAGCACGAGCACGATGATGGGAATATAGTTGCTTTCTCGACAGCTATGTGTTTGTAGTTGAGGGGAGGAACAACGACAAAATATTTGAAAAACAACGTAGGGACTAGGGAGTTATTTGCTACACGGAGTTTTGTTTCACCGGAGAAACTTTTCCAAAGATCCTCTCTTCGTTCTTTACACTTGTACTCCCTCAGTTTTTTTAAATGTTATAGTTTGATTGACATATATTTTTAGCAATTTAATTGATTAATTTTTCAAATGAAATTTTTAAGAATTTGTTAAAATTGTTTTGTAGTGACAATGAAAGTTAAAATTCTCATGAATTTTGAGTAACTTAGGAGGGTTTGGATAATTTACTTTATATGTTTCGTGGGAAGTAGAAATTCCCATGAATTCCAATTTTTTCTATTTTTGTTTTTTGTGTCAACTAAACAACTACCCAAATTACAAATTTCCATGAATTTCCACTTCCTCCATTCTATTTTGTCAACCAAACAAGCCCTAAATTCTTATTATATTATACTTCCTCTGTTTCTCAAATATTGCAACATGATATAGAAAGGAATAAAGATAGAGACTTATGATAGAAAGGAATAAAGATAGAGACTAGTGATGAGGAGAGATAAAGAATGAAAACATGTGTAAATAGGGAAATGTTGTTGTTTGGGCATAACCCATTTTCTAAGCTCAATCATATTTAATAACAAAAACACTCTACTTTAGGGTCAAGTTTACTATAATCTAGTTCATAATAATTTGTAATCATCCCATAATTATTTTATTACAGATTCACTCTTAATCCATTTAAAAAGAACCACTTTGCCACATGAAACTACAACTATAAATACTAAACTAATGATTAGAACTCCCAAAGCTACCCATTAACTTTCACCACACAAATCCTAAACTTGGACCACATGCCCTCTCGCTGCTACTACCAACAGCCCAACAACTCTAATTCGCATACATCACTGCTTCCTCCTCTCACTATCCCTGCGTCCCACGCCCAACAACAACCCCCTACCATCTACTCTCACACCGCAAACCAACAATTCCAATCCCGCATCACCCTCTCAACCGCTTGACACCCTCACTCCACTCTATTAATTACCACCGCAGCGGCACCCAAACTTCCACCTACTCACATCATCAACAATAATTGCTTAAGCACTCGTGTTGCATTCGATCACCATCAAACCGCCGATTTGCACAAAGCAATAGCAACAATTTCCAGCACCAATCTCGACCACCAAACCGCAAGCAACCTGAAACTCTAGCCACCCCGCATAGCTACTCATGCAGCAAACAAGCATAGTCGCAGCTCGCGCGCAAAAAAATGAGGCAGGAAGTTCTTGAATTTTGAGACTCGCAAGCTACGCGCACACTTCCGACATTCTGCGCTCGTAGGATAAATAAAGAAGAAAGCGTCCTTGTTACACCCAACTTTAAAATTTCTTAACTTACGTGATTGTAATGTTTGACCTATGAAGATTAACTTTGAAAATAGACTTATTTTACTAGAAAAACGCGGTCCAACGATGGAGGATCTAATTAAGTCACAAAGCCCAAATGAGAAGCCCTAGAGACAAGTTAAATCCGATTTTGAGTAGTTAGAGTATTTGAATGCAAAGCAAACTAGTGCCAAGAGTTATAACCAACTAGCAGTTATGGAATTAAGTGGGAGAAAATTGCATGATATTCGTCTAAAAATAGAGAAAGAGTTCCAAGAAATTAACATCAGCAATCAATTAAAACAAAGCATTTCATTTCCTTTAAGCTTTCTTTACAGCTTTCTTAGTTTTTCCTTGGCTTAGTAGCTAAGCGATAATGTAGTTTCCTTAGAATGTGTTGAAGATAAACTGTTTCATCCAATTGAGTGAAACGTGGAGGTAACCTATCCTTCAACTTGTACAACTGTAGCCCTAACTTTATCTATCAATTAATAAAAAGCATTTGCATCTTTTGTCATATGTTTACCTACTCATTTCTTTAGCAATCTAACTCGTCTAAACTTCTTTGAGGATAACTTCTTTACTTTTTTGTTTCTGTTACGTTAGCGAGGTTATAAAACTTGAAACCAGTAACAATAGGGGCAGCTCCTTAATACTCTAGAACAAAATATTGTATTTGACTTGTTGGTATAAAACAATACTTACCTCAATAAGTTTTTTGGTGAACACCGTAGGAGAAGACTGAACTAGATAGATCCATTTTACTTTAAGTATTTGGAAGTTATCCCATGACTCCTAAGCATTCAACACATAAAGGAACTAATCAGGAAGATGTTAATTCATCTGAACATAATCCTAAAACCATACTAGAGGATCAACAAGATCTAGAAAACCAACTTCAAACTGATTATGTTGCAAGCTCTTCTGAACAACTTAAGTCTCACACATAAAGATAAAAGGAGATTCTTAACAGAAGAGATAACCATTCTCCTACTAGAAATCTACTCAATACAATATATATACGAAATATGTAGATATTATAAAGAATCTAATGGAGGATTTAAAAGAATATAATAGAAAGCAGTTTGATAGCTACTATCTTGTCATGGTGGAAGAAACCACTAGATTCATAATTGTTGAATTAAGGAATTTTGATTCTATTTCTTAACAAGCAATCACTATACAAGTGGATACGATTATTTGATCTAGATATAAATAAGACTTTGGACGTTACTAACATGGCTCTATCAAAGAGTATAGCAACCGAAGTAGTTACAAGACTAGAGCCTTTAGTGGAGAAACATAACCAACTAAATGAAAAGTTATGAGTGTTTTAACTACTCTAGGGAATGGGGTTACTAAAGCAAATCAAAAGGAAAATATTCCTCTAAGATACCCTAGACAACAACAGTGCGAAGCAACCAAGCAAGAACAAACAATGGCGCAGGAGAAAGAAGTGCGAGAAGATTGAGAAAATTTTGAATTAGGAAGATGAAAAGAAAAGAGCCAAAATTATGAAGTAAAAGAGGAGGCAGTAAAATAAATATGACATTAATGAACGGTTTTACGTAACCAACAAAGTAAAACCGTCATATAGCCACAACAAATTAACTGCACTCCTGATGACCGACACGTGTCCACACATGCAAGACGACGTTCTCGCAAAATAAAAAAAATAAAAAAATAAAAAAATAAAAAAAAAACCCTCCTGCTTCAGCGAGTGTAATCGGAATCCTCACTCCGGCTCGTCACTTCTTAGACTTCAGCAAGAGTGTTTGAAATTCCTCACTCCAGCTCTTCATTTCTCAGACATCAGCGGGAGTAATCTAAATTCCTCGCTCTAGCTTGTCGTTTTTCAGTCTTCAACAGGAGTAATCGAAATTCCTCGCTTTAACTCATCATTTCTCAGACTTGAGGGGCTGTTATCACTCTCACACGGTAACGACTACATCTTCATCACTTCGCAACCTACTTTCTTAAATCTTAGAACTGTGTACGCAATCCTAAGACTTGAGGGGCTAGTTGTACGGAGGGAATCTCAATCAGATGACCTGTTGAGTAATTACTGATGAGGTTACACACTCAAAAGAGTTGGCATGAGTGACCTCATACCACCTCTTGAGGGGCTAATTTTGTGGGATAGTGTGACGAGGGTAGCCCGTTGTTGGGGATCCCACTTCCTCTATGCTCATGGCCCTCTAAAGCCTAAGATTTTACACTTTATAGGGTGTGTCAGGATTTTAATTCCTGACTGTTTGGGAGACCTTGAATTAGAATTGAGTCTGTCATTACTTTTTTTTTTTTTATAAGAAACCAATAGAGAGTCGCCAATGAGTTTTAGGAAAACTCATAAACCTCGTTCATACCTTTCTCCCACGTAGTATTCAAGGGATAATTAGCATGAATCATAAGTTTACTCATGCCCAAATTGGTCTACTAAACCAGAAATGAGTTCGTGAGTAAGGGTACTAGAAAAACATTCACTTTGAGAAACTTCGTTGATTTTATTTACAAATATTAATTACACAAATTGTACATTGTAACAAATGTCGTTATTCTTTTTTAATTAAATTCGTGAAAAGAACAAAATAAACAATATTCGCCTTGACTTAGGTGATAAAACAACAATTTAATTATTCCAATTCTAGTTTTTATTTAACGAGAGAATACTACACGAATTAATTAATTAAAAAAAACTGTTTCAAAGTGATTAAATAACAATACTTAAATGCTTAAAGTTGATAAATTGATTAATTGATTAAACATGAAGAAAAAGGTGATTGATCTAAGTGTTCAGGAAACTAACTATTCTCCTTTGTTTGCTAGATCTCCATTTTGGGCGTTTATGGACTTTCCTCCTTCTTCGTACCTCCAAGGACTTCAATGGAACAAATTAGGGTTGAAGAGTACCTGGGAAGAGAGGGGAAAAGTAGTATGATAGTAATAGAGGACTTGAGTGATTAGGGTTTTTAGAATTTTACGGTTTTAATTCTGATTTTCCGTTGTCATTAGGGCTAACGAAGACCTCTATTTATAGGTGTAGGAATCTAGGTTTAGGGTTTTAGAGCCGCAGCGTCAGGAGGCGCGCGCAACTCTCAAAGTTGTAATGCAGTGCTGAGCGCAACTCTAGGACTTGTGCGCGGCTGGCGCACGCAACTTTGGAAGTTGCGCGCGGTGCGATTTTCCTTATACAAAAACATGTTTTTAAAACTTCCATAACTTTTGATTATAAAGTTGGATTAAGGAAAATAAGATATCATTGGAAAGCTCTGAATGTCTACTTTCCAATGCCGTTAAAATTAGGTTAAAATCTGTTATAAATCAAAAGATATGGCCGTTTGAATGCAAGGGTGTCTATTTTAGGGTCCGGTTTAGTATTTTAATGATAACGTCTTCGTTTTAACTCGGAATTGGGGTTATAATATACTGTTTGAAAACTCTTAAAAAGAGCTACCCATAAGTACAGGGCATGAACATATATTAGGTGGTTAATTGTTCTGATTGGCTCGGTTTTCAACAATGTAAGATCCATTTGATCCAATCATTGCATTTGACGCATTTAGGTCCGTTATTAATCAAGACTAGGCTCTAAGATAATTTGGTCTCAAATATGAGTTCTATCTTACTTCATAATGCATTTCGGAGTCCATAAACACTTCAACTTTGATCTGGCATGAAGAACGAGCTTTTGTAAGATCATCACACTTCCCGTC